TGGCAGTGGTCATTGCCTTACATTTGTGTGGTGCAAATGTTACTTGTCAGCCCATGTCTAGATATCATCTATTTGCATATAGACTGTTTCAGTATTTAAGGATTTGCAAATGTCGCTGAACAATGTGCAAAACATCAGCGAACATCCCCACTTCTGACCCACGATGGAGGGAAGGTCATTGATGAAGCAGCTGAAGATGGTTGGGCCAAGGACACTACCCTGTAGAACTCCTGCAGAGATGTCCTGGAGCTGAGGAGACAGACCTCCAACAATCATGACCATCTTCCTTTGTGTCAGATATGACTTCAGCCCCCAGAGAGTTTACCCCCTGATACCCATTGATTCCAGCCTTGCTCCTTGATATCACACTCCGTTGACTGCAGCCTTGATGTCAAGGAGAATCACTCTCGCCTCACCTCTGGAATTCAGCTGTTTTGTCCATGCTTGAACCCAGGCTGTAATGAGGTCAGGAGCTGGTTGGACCTGGCAGAGCCCAAACTGGGCGTCACTGGTTATTGCTGAGTAGGTGCTGCTTGAGAGCACTGTTGATGACACCTTCAATCACCTTACTGATGATTGAGAGGAAGCTGATAGGGTGGTAATTGGCCGGATTAGTTTTATCATGCCTAGGAAATTTGTGCGTTGCCGGGTAGATGCCAGTGTCGTAACTGTACTGGATCAGCTTGGCTAGGGGATCGGCAAGTTCTGGAGCCCAAGTCTTCAATATTATTGCCGAAATATTGTCAGGGCTCGTAGTCTTTGCAGTATCCAGTGTCTCCAACCGTTTCTTGATATCACATGGAATGAATTGCTAAGGACTGGTATCTGTGGTGCTGGGGACCACTGAAGGAGGCGAAGATGTATCATCCACTTGGCACTTCTGGCTGAAGATTGCTGCGAAAGCTTCAGCCTTATCTTTTGCATTGATGTGCTGGACTCTTCCATCATTGAGGATGGGGATATTTGTGGAGCCGCTTCCTCCAGTGAATTGTTTAATTGTGCACCACCATTCACAACTGGATGTGGCAGGACTGCAGAGCTTAGGTCAGATCCCGTTGGTTGTGGGATCGCTTAGCTCTGTGTATTTGACATGCAAGTATTCCTGTTTGGTAGCTTCACCAGACTGATGCATCAATTTTATGTGTATCTGGCGCTGCTCCTGGCATGCCCTCCTGCACTCTCCATTGAACCAGGGTTGATCCCCTGGCTTGATGGTAATGGTTGAGTGGGGGGTTATGCTGGGCCATGAGGTTACAGATTGTGCCGGAGTACAATTTTGCTGCTGTTGATGGCCCACAGCGCCTCATGGATGCCCAGTCTTGAGCTGCTAGATCTGTTTGAAGTCTGTCCCATTTACCACGGTGATAGTGCCACACAGTATGCTGGAGGCAGGACTTTGTGTCCACAAGGACTGTGTGATGGTCACTCTTACTGATACTGTCACGGACATTCATTTGCAGCCTGCAGATTGTGGTGAGGGTGAGGTCAAGTATGTTCTTCCCTCTTGTGTGTTCCCTCAGTTAAGAGTCGGTCACATTGCTGTGGGTCTGGAGTCACATGTAGGCCAGACTGGAGGAGGACATTACTTCATTACATTAATATCTTCATTGCTACCTGAACCTTGTATTTCTATAGCGTTCTTAGCATTGTAAAACATACTAAAGCACTTCATGAGGACTCATCATTCGAAACTCAGCCATATGAATGGATATTAGAGCTAGGAACCAAAAGCGTGCTCAAAGATCTTGGTTTTAAAACACAACCTAAAATAGACAGTTTTAGGAAATACTTGACAGCTGAGGAATGAAAATCAGTGAATTGCAGGAGTGCAGAAATTATAGAGGATGGCAAAGGGCTGGAGCATCATGTCTGCCCAGGCTCGCTAAATAAGCATCATGACCGAGCCATTCTCCAGTCTTTCCCAATACCTGCACATTGTTTCTGTTGAATACTCTCTTGAATGGCTGAATGGAACGTGCCTCCACCACACTTTCAGGTAGTGTATTCTAGACCCAAACCATTGCAAATCAATTTAAACCTAGGCCCTGAGACAACAAGGTGCAGAGCTGGATGAACACAGCAGGCCAAGCAGCATCATAGGAGCAGAAAGGCTGACGTTTCAGGCCTAGACCCTTCATGGGAACCTTTCACAAGCAGGAATGGTTTCTCCCTTTCTACTCTATCCCCAGTCCCCTTATGAGTTTGAAAGCTATCAGATCTTCTCTTTGTTGCCTTCTCTTCAGTATATCCTTATAACTGAAGTTTCTCATCCCTGGATCCACTTTTGTAAATCTCTTCTGCACATGCCAATGTATTCATATTATTCCCATAGTGTGGTGCCCAGTACTGTACACGTTCATCAGGCTGAGATGATTAGATGCAAGGAACAGAACTCTGTCAGTGTGAGGTGGGCTGGAGGTCTTGCACAAGAGATGCAATCATCACAATATTGAAGTCTGGAGATTGCATAGATGAAGGCAAAACACAACATGACATTTCTCACTTCTGACTAGTTTCAACTATTGATTTGCAATTCTTCTGCGTAGGTTGAATTGGTCAAAACTTGTAAGACTAGTGTTGCAATATTGGAATGTTGCTGGAAGCTGACTCCTTTCCAGTTAGAATAGTTTCCCATGTGATTTGAGGCTACATACATATGTTCTAAATTGTGTGGTTACACAGCTTACTGACCAGTGAGTCGCACATCAAAGGTAGGGGAACTGTTGGAGAGAATTCTGAAGGGGGAATTAATTTCCACTTGCTGAAGTAAAGTTGGGTCACGGGTAGTCAGCATAGCTTTATCAGAGAGAGGTCATGCCTAATTGAATTTTTTGAGGAGGTGGCCAGGTGAGTAGATAAAGTTAGTGAAGTTGATGTGGTTCGTACAGATTTCAGCAAGGCCTTTGACAAGATCCTACATGGGTGACTGATAAAGGTGAAACTAGGTGGAATCCAGGGAAACTTGGCAAAATGGGTCCAAAATGGGCTTAGTGACAGGAGACAGAGGGTTGTGTGCAGTGCTGGGTTGCTTATTGCTCATGGTATGTATATAAATGATATGAATGAGACTGTAGGGGGATGCTAAGTACATCTGTGGATGATCTGAAGATTGGCCAAGCAGTTATTAGGGATGAAGCAAGTCTTAGTTTACAGGAAGGTGTAGACTGGTTGGTCGGCTGGGCAGATTAGTGGCAGATTGAATTTAACCCTGGAAGGTGTGAGGGGATGCATTTTGAAAGAAAGAACACGACAAGGACTAATTCAGTGATTTGTAGGACACTGGAAAGCTCAGAGGAACAGAGTGCTGTTGAGGTAGTTGACCACAGATCCCTAAAGGCAGCAGGGCAGGTTAATAGGGTAGTTAAGAAGGCATGCCGTTCAGTTGTGGCATAGATTATAAGAGCAGGGAGATAAAGTTGGTGATGTACAAAATTTTGGTTTGGTGTACTGTGTGCAGTTCTGGTCACTTACTGTAGGAAGGATGTGATTGTATTGGAGAGTGTGCAGAGGAGACTCACCAGGTTGTTGTGTGGGATGGAGTAGTTTAGCACAAAAAGAGGCTGGATAGACTCCATTTTCTTTAGGGCAGAGGCACCTGGTAGAGGTGTATAAAATTGAGGAGCAAGGACAGGGTGAATAGAAAGCAGCTATTACACCTATTTGAAAGATCAATAACGAAGGGAAATAATTTTAAAGTGAAAGGCGGGAGATGGAGAGGATTTGAGGAAAAGCATTTTCACTCCGTGTGGTGGGAATCTGAAATTCACTGCCTGGGAGGATAGTTGAGGCAGCAAACCCCACACCCTTTAAAAAGTACTTGGATGAGCACTTGAAATGCCATAACATTCAAGGCTACGGGCCAAGTGCTGGAAATGTGGATTATTGTAGATAGTTTGGTGCAGGTCGGATTGGCAGAAGGGCATCTTCTATGCCAAATGGCCCTCTGGCACAGCACACAACTTCCAAAGCATGGTGTGTACAGATATTTTCTAATCTACCTGTTCAGAGATGTTAGTACATGCCTATGGAGCAGATGGACCTTGAACCCTGGTCTCTTGGTCCGGGGGCAGGGACGCTCACTGCACCACAAGAGGGTCCACAGGGCACGTATTAAATGGTCCCTTTAATTTAACCGATGTGTGCAACATTGCGAAAAGGCCCATGCACTTAAACAAAGTCATTGTAATACCACATAAAAAAGAATTAAATTTGCTCTAGGTATAAATGGAAAATTTTGAATAGGTTTTTAGATTGGATTGGAATACCCATAATAACCTGAGACAGGTACAGCAGTCCTAGATGTAACTGGTTGCTAATTAAATATTTTGTAAGAGAACAACCTTGACCATGGCAATGTAAAGTTAAATTGTTTGAGTGTTGTGTACCCTTAATAATTTGATTTGAAAAACAATTTTGAGATCTGTTGTGAATCAATACCAACAAATACAAATCAAATCAATTTTAAATAATTCCACCAGTTCCATCTACATTTAAAGAATGACAGGACTTAGAACAAACTTCACTGTTTGAGTCTCCATTGATTCATTGTCAAAATGACATCTTTAACAAAAGAGTAAATAAACAATTCAATTTTATGAGAAATTTGTATGTCATAAGTTCTATATTTAACACATTCTGTGATGATTTGGAAACTGAATGCTCAAATACTGCTTTCCTTTGCTTGTTGACTTTTTAATTTGCTCTCACCACTTTGCGAGGCCACAGAGACATGGGTCAGTTGTTGGCATACAGGTCAATACATTCCCTGGTTTTAATCTTTGTCAAATGATAAGATAGTATTGACTGTGGAGGGAGAGATAAAGTTTAATTAGTTTGAAGTCATGTACATTAATGTAACAATTTTGTTTTATCTTTTCCAATTTGAGTAAAATGTTGACTGTTTGGTGGTGAAAGTAGATCTGAGCACGTAAGTTATGGTTTAATACTGTTTTAAAAAAAAGGACAACACTAAGTTCTCTATTTACTTGCGTGTCTTACAGGAAGTTATAGAGCTGACCAGAGATCTGTTATCAAATCAGCCTTCTGTTGCTGCAACTAATGCAGACAACTCAGCAAATTCCATGCCTAGTCATAAATGGAAGACTGGTGACAAGTGTATGGCTGTTTGGAATGAAGATGGACAGTAAGTGTAGAACTCTCTAACAGTACATCAATAGAGCAGTAGCAAATGGTAAGAGATTCTTTGAGACTTATTCTGAAATTTGAGGCTTGGATCAGTCATATTTGACCTGCAATGATGCAGTTACGGTGGGGGAATTTGTAATCCTTTCGCTTGCCAAAGATGCTCATCAATCATGTTTGACTTTATAACCTTGTTGCTAGTTTGTTCATAATCCAAGACCTGTAAATTTGGGAACAATAGTATGGTAATCATCTGTCACTTCTGATAATGACTAGTAAATCCAATTACTTTGTTACCCTTACTGATTGCATCTGAATTCTGTGGGTGCACTGATGACTTTTTAAAAAAAACATCAGCGGGCCAAACCACAGGTTCCACCAACAAAAGCCCAAAACCCATTTTCCATCAGAACTGTTACTAAAGTCTGGCACCTTCTGATTGATGGAGATGTCTGATTATCTATATACACCTGAAGCAGAAACAGTTTGTGTAGATTTTTTTAAGCTATCTCTGGAAGGTTACGAAAGTGTTTCATTTATGGACCCCCAAGCACCAGTATATTCTGATTCTCATTCTAACCTGTTCTGCCAAGATAAGCAGCATTAACATTTCACCTGAGCATTTTTTTGGTGCCTTATATCTGCTTATTTAAAATGGTCACTGTGGACATATTGGGCCACATTTTGTGATCAGTGGCAAAGTGCTTGCTGCTGACCCCATAGAAAGTAATCCTTAAAGATCAGGAAATCTGAGTGTTATGATTACCCCCCACCCCCCCAACATTGATTCCTGTGTCAAGAAGATCACTAGGCATCTAGCAAGTAATGTCAGTAAACGGTAAACAGCCAATCAGACTGAAGTACTCTATCAGATCGAAAATTAGGAAATTAAATGCTGCAATTTTTTCAATTTTATTTGCTTTCTGAAATTTGATTGATATGGATACATGCAAAATTAGAATTAGGTTAAGGCATTATAAACTTTTAAAAAAACACTTTTTAATATTATCGTAGAGCTTAACATTTCACAAAATATAACAATTGTGACTTGGTGTACCTTCAAAAAAACCTAGTTACATCTCATCCAAAAAAAGTATAAGTTTTTCCAAAGGCTTTTACAAAAGATTGTTACATGACAGATTTTCATCAGTTTGGTGATTTCAAGTTAATTACAGCCTGGGGGATGTTAACCAATTCACTTTGGGAAAGCATAGAATTACTGATAGCATATCCTGAATTTCCATGTTTAACTGTGCACATGTGGTCTCAAAGTGCTGTGCCTTTCAGAGTTGTAATGAGTGTGACCACTGTCATGACACTCTCAAAATACGAGCCTTTGTTTAATTTATTCTCATAAAAAGTTCAAGTGGAAGTGTAGCACATTAATGGTTAATTAGTGGTTGAAACCGTTCATATTAAATAGATTTTGCTGAACTGTTAAATCCAGAAGTCCATTCACAAACGTGTTGATAATTTTGAAACAGTTTTCAATAAATTATTACAATGGTTTTATGAAATGTAATACCTAACATTTTTAAATGTTAGAGGGCTGTAGGGCCTGTTTGTCAAACCTCTACTCACATGCTTACAGCCCTAACTTCCTTGCAGATTGTATGAAGCGGAGATTGAAGAGATTGACCAAGAAAATGGTATGGCTGCCATCACCTTTTCTGGATACGGTAATGCTGATGTGCTTCCCTTGGTCAACCTGAAACCTGTTGAAGAAGGAAATGATTCTGAAGAGCTGGGTGGTGACAAACCCAAATCAAAGTGAGTACTGTCAGTCAGTCCTCTAAAACAAAAACAAATTGCTGGAGAAACTCAGCATGTTTGGCAGCATCTGTAGTTAATCTGTTATTTTTCATTTAAAATACAGCAATACAGTTTTAAAATACAGTTTTAACCGGTATCTCATGACTTGCCACACTCAATAAATGGAAAAAATTATACACCTCCAGTGCCGTTTTTAGTGCAGTGAATGTTTTCCTTTGATTCCAATGTCCTTTCTTCTTCAGGGTTCTGCTTTCTGTATATAGATGCTGTCAGACCTAAGCTTCTCCAGCAATTTCAAGTTTTGTTTTCGATTTCCAGCATCTGCAGTTCTTTGTTTTATTCTTGTTTCTAATGTTTAGGATAGTGCATCTTAAGTAGTAACATTTTCTTGGTGATTTTTGATTTTGGCTATTTACAGGAAGGAAATGGTTGCTCAACAGAGGGAGTATAAGAAGAAGAAAGCATTGAAAAAAGCTCAAAGAATGAAGGAACTTGAACAGGAGCGCGAGGAACAAAAAGTAAAATGGCAGCAGTTTAATAACAGAGCCTATTCCAAGAACAAGAAAGGACAGGTCTGTATTGTACACAATAGTAGTTATTTCTGAATATCTATTTTGCCAGTTATTGGCTCTGTGTCCCTGAGATACTGACAGACATGTTGCAAGGGTGCTGGTAACTTGTGGCATGACATTTAAATGGTGATTTTTTAAAAAATTTAAATCATGATCTTTCCAAAACATGATTCTATCTTCGCCAAATACCCTTCACACAGGAATCACTGGATGGCATTTGGGTGTGATACTTCATTTTTCCTTAATGCAGTGGCACCAGACTAACTGTTGCACCTCACCCGTTGCCTGTGTTTAAATGAGTTAAGACCTGATCAAACCTGGGGTCCTCTGATGTTCTGAGGAAGGGTCACCGGACCCGAAACGTTAACTGTTTTCTCCTCCACAGATGCTGCCAGGCCTGCTGAGCTTTTCCAGCAACTTTGTTTTTGTGTCCTCTGATGTGATGTGTTAATCTGTTATTTTTCATTTAAAATACAGCAAACTTTGTTTTAACCAGTACCTCATGACTTACCACACTCAATAAATGGCAAAAATTATATACCTCAAGTACAGAGTTTACTGTAAGTTTTTTTAAAAATTTATTTACCTCATTGTAAATATACTTGTTCAGTTACGTAGCCACATGAAATAGTTGATTCAGTTTTGAGTCAATTTCTCCTCAAATACCCAAACTTGATGTCCTCGTAGTCAGTTGAGAGTGTAAGTGAGAAGGCTGTCTGCTGGTAAGCTTTCTTTAAGGCAAGTTGCGATATTATTTAAGTGATTTATGCTGTAATTAAAGTATGTGATATGTATACCCCCTGCATTATGTTTCTGTTACTTAGTATGTGTTTTTACATAGATTATATGGATCTCTTGATTATCCAAAATATTTGATCACCATTTCACTCCTGGTGCCAAAGGTGCTGGTTAATAAAAAGTTTGCTGTACTCGTGTTCATATTCAGTGCTTTCAGCCTTCTGGTCTGTTCTGTTGTACTATTTTCTATTTGTTACCCTAATTGGCTATTTTACTAAGTTTTGTTCATCATCTCCTAGTATCTGATTTTGTTATTGTTTTTGCTGTGTCATATGAACTTCAAAGGTGATGTCACTGAAATAAACGGTCACACTACCCTATGAAATAGGAATTTTTCATATTTCTGAAGTAGCGGTAGAAAAACATCTACTCGTGTCTGTTTCCATCTTGATAACATTTTGGTTATCATTCTTTTAGGTAAATGGAAGTTCATATTGGGGGGTGTAGGATGGTATGAAAAAGAAATCTTACTTGAGCCCAGTGGTAGTATATTTCAAATTTTTAAAAATTATTCTTTATTGAGATTTCTTGGACGCTTGTTATTTTGGTTGCTGTCACTGAATTTGTTGTGAATGTCATTTCCTTCTCATTGTGCAACACCAAACCATTTTTTAGTTCCAGCTGCTATTCAGGATTTGCCAGAATTCGTGCCTAAATTTTTCGTTTCATATGGTGCTAGGTGCTTTCTCCTAGAGTGCTGCATGGGAATCTGCCCAATTTCATCACATTACGCTTGGCTACAACTTTAGTAATGTATTGGTATATGCTTTACACTTGGAAATGTGGAACTAATTTTAATATTTGCCTCATTCATATCTTTGAGAAGCACCCTATTATTAAATGGTAGATTGCCATGACATTCATCAAATACCAAATTGTACACAGGATAGCTTCTCCCACTTTGTAGTTAAGTTGCTGTTCAGTCATGCTAAACTACTGTGATCAAAAATCACAGGTAAAAAAATTCTGTTACATCACTATTTTGAATACTGTCAATTGAGTTGCGTATTGTGTTTATCTCATTCTCAAATTTTTTTTGTAAGACTTATTTAATCTTTTTTGAGTGAGCATAGCTATGTAAGTTTGTGATATACAAGTTGTTTATGATAAGAATTGTGTTCAGGCAAAGTAGTCAGTGTAAAACGCAAATAAGCAAAAATGTATTTCTAGTGGATAGATTTATCATTCTTATCAACTGAAAAGTGCTGTATGAAAGGTAATGGGACTAATGTTGGATTCTGTTTTAAAAAGGTGAAGAAAAGCATTTTTGCCTCACCTGAGAGTGTGACTGGAAAAGTTGGAGTTGGCACATGCGGAATAGCAGACAGACCGATGACTCAGTACCAAGACACATCGAAATACAACGTGCGGCATCTTATGCCACAGTAGCTAGCACCTGTGTAAAGTATTTCCAAGATTATGTATTTCTTCCTATTTTCTTTCGTGGATGCCGTATTACATTAGTGCACTTTTAATAGTTTTTTTTTGCCAAGTTCATTTGGTCTATCAGCACAAAAATTGTAGCTGTGAAAAAGTTGATTGTGTATAGTTATCCATTACGGAGGCAGGTGGAGGCTTTGATAAATCAATCTTCCTATTTGAGGAAGTGTAATTTTTACAAATTGAAGTCTTTTTTTTTGTATGTATAATTGGGCAATTTTAACAAATAAAAAACGTAAAATTACTCCTGTCCTGTGTATTTTCTAGCATAAAATTTTCAAATTAAGAATGAAGTGAGATGAGCAATTTTGTGCTGTTAAAAATTAATGTTTTGCTTGCACTGTCCCATATTTGTTCCATTTCCAAATCTACTGTTAGTTAGCAACGAGTAAAACTTCTTCCATCCCACATTACTTCCACAGCGATAAAAAAAATTCTATTTGGATAAAAATATTTCTCTCCAATGGACACTGAAGTGAGAGTATTTTACCCCAATGAACAATAACCACAGAAATTTTAAATTGTTTCATTCATTGATAGACTGAAGGGTCATGATTTATAATTCAAGAAACTAAATTGAAATTTGATGTTAGTCTTTGGCACTAGAAGTCTAATGATTATAGAAATGAGAAAGATTTGAGATGTGTAAAATTCTATAATTTTAGAACTGTGCCAATTAATTCTAAACTTTCTTCCTTACTACTGAAAGTACTGCTAATTTTAATTTCAGAATATCTGTTCAAGATGATTAAATTCTTTTTTGAATTTTAGGATGGGGCGGGGAAGGAAAGAAACCTGGTTATTCACTTTCTGAACAGCCGAATTACTGGCTCAAGTAACAAAACTATTGCAAAATCTAATGATTCTTGGCACTGGAATGGGTGCAGAGGAGATTCAGTAGGTTGGTTCTGGAGTTGAGGGGGTTGGCTTATGAGGAGAGAGACTGAGGAATTATATTCATTGGAATTTAGAAGAATGAGGCGGGATTTAATAGAAACATGTAAAATTATGAAGGGGATAGGTAAGATAGAAGCAGGGGGGATGTTTCCATTGGTGGTGAAACTATAATTAGGGGGCATAGCCTCAAAATTAGGGGGAGCAGATTTAGGACTGAATTGAGGAGGAAAATCTTCACCCAAAGGGTTGTGAATCAGTGGAATTCCCTGCCCAGTGAAGTAGTTGAGGCTTCCTCATTGAATGTTTTTAAAGCTAAGGTAGATAATTTTTTGAAGAGTAAAGGAATGAAGGATTATGGTGAGAAGGTGGGTAAGTGGAGCTGAGGCCATAAAAAGATCAGGCATGACGTTATTGAATAGCGGAGGAGGCCAAATGGCCTTCTCCTGCTCCTGGTTCTTATTGTTCTTGTGTTATGTTACTACTTAGAGATCCCTTTGATTGGATTTATCAATCAAACTAATGGTGTTATTTACAAATAATATAACTGTTGGAAGCGAAACAATTGAATCAGTGAAATTTGGGTGCCTTAAGTGCTCCATTTAACATTTATAACCGATTTACATATTACCATAATTGTAAAAGTAATCAATTACTTTTGCAGCTGCTGAACAGGTTGTGTATTCCACTTATTAAAAAAGTCAACTCATTCAGTAAATTAGGAGAAATATTTAATAAGAAGTACATGTTGAAAATTTGCACTAGTGAGATATAATCTGTCATGCTTCAAAAACTGAGATTTAATATCATTGATTTGAGAATTTAAGATTGAAAAGTCAGAATCAACGAGCGATATGGGCTAGAATCTGGAGAGGACGTGTTGAGATTTGTTTTTCAGACATATTTTAGGTGTGTTTACATTTACTTTCAGACTACCTTGCACTGATCATTGTTCCACTCAATAGATTTTTTTCTAATTCATTTGTGGGATGTGGGCATCACTGGCTGGCCAGCATTTCTTGCCCATCCCTAGTTGCCCCTTGAGAAGGTGGTGGTGAGCTGCCTTTTTGAACTGCTGCAGTCCTTCTGCTGTGGGTTGACCCACAATGCTATTAGGGAGGGAATTAATGATCTTAATGCAGGTGGCACAAGTAATACGGTATTTCACAAAATGAAGTTTTATTTTATGCTTTATACAAGAGGTAAATAAGAGGTTTATCTACAAACACAGTTAAAGCAATATTTCAAATTAGGGTAGCTTGGGGACAAGTGTGCTATTAGTTTGAACCAGCATGAATTGAGTCTTTACACACATACATTGAGTATTCATTGGGAACAGACAGTCTACCTCAAATGATACATCCTGTTTTCCCCATCACTGCATTCTATTTGAGACTTGTTACAAGCCTTATTTTGTACACTTTGCAGCATGGTGATTCAGGCTATAAATGGTTATCAATAATTCTGTTAAAACAATGTTAAAATTATAAATAGCACCCATACTGACACCAGTGCAATTTTGATTACAACCAATAAAAATATGCCACTGCTGTTAAATTATGTTGATAACGATGAATAGCTATGCTAAATTCTAGACTTGGGCACTACTTCACACGTCCTACAGTTACCTTGGGAGGGCCTTGGTCAGTGTTGATCTTTACGGTCAAATAATGCTGGCTTTTGGAATCAAAAATACTAGTTGCTAATTGGGAGGGGAGGGAAGGGGGGGAACAGGAGGAGGAGGAAGAACAGAGAAAGACAAAGAACAATAGCACTATCCCAGATGCTTTCACTGGAAGATAATGCAATGAGTTTTGCTGTTTTTAACTATGCTGTATATAATCAACAGCACTCGCCTCAATTACCTACTGCCGAGATAAAAGCCATTTTTTAAATAAAGTTAACTATATTTTTATGTTCATATAATTTGAAAACTAGGATTTTGTAAGTTGAATCTTTAATAGCAAGTTGCCAAGTTACTGTAGATAGGAACAGTAATGTATCTTGATATGGTACGGTCCAACAAGTCTGATGATTTAATTTTTAAACATTTGTCTCTTTATGAAAGTTCAGTGTTCACAAAAACTCTTAACTCTTCATGTATTGGTGTCCCACTTTAATAAGATGAAGTACTATTTTCTAGGTAGCCTGAAGCCTTTATTTATAATTGGCAGATGTGCATGCTCCAGCAAGTTAAGATATAGTGGGCTGGCAGTGCTACACAATGGTTTCAAATTCTGCTGCAAATATTGCAAGTTTCTGTAGGTGCTGCATGAAAGTTCTTAATTTGGAATTGGGCAGTGGTGCAAGGAAAATATTTTATAAAATTATGTTCATGGTAACTGAACAGTGTTAGTGTGTAAACTCTGTGACAGCACCATTTCAAAAGATGCAAATGCAATCTGTGTATCTTAGGTTAGATAAAAAGTGATAAATGGTAGAAAACTAAATGGAAGGGGCAAGAAATGCAACTTACGTATACTGAAATTTTAATGCGCTTATTCAGTATTTAACTAAATTTCAGTACTTTTAGAAAATATCAATGGATACACTGTTGAAAATTTGTGATAAGCTGTGGAAATCACTAAATCAAGAGAATTATGATTTTTTAATGCATATTGTTCCTCAAAGTACATTCCAACTATATAATAAAAAAAACAAAGAACTGCAGATGCTGGAAATCAGAAACAAAAACAGAAATTGCTTGAAAACCTCAGCAAGTCTGGCCGCATCTGTGGAGAGAAAACAGAGTTAACGTTTCAGGTCCAAATTCTGAAGAAGAGTCATTGGACCAGAAACATTAGCTCTACTTTCTCTCCAGATGGTGGCAGACCTACTGAATTTTTTTTCAGCAACTTCTGTTTTTGTTACATTCCAACTATGGCAGATTAATCATGTATCTGGAGGAATGGGAACAGAATCATTATTTTTGATCCTTAAATTATTTCAATTTTAAGACAGTATCATGCAACCGTCCTTCCTACGCAGACAGTAAACTACTTAGTAGCTGTCTCCAGTTATTTTGATTGCAACTCATTTTGGTATAATTTTGGAGGAGAACTTGTCAACAGAAATTTGGCATGTTTGTGCAGGGATAATCAATCAAATCTGGGTAAAATGTTGAATCTCAATGTGCTTGGTGGCATCAAGATGGGTAATTAAAGTATAGCTTTTATTGTGCTTACTATTCAGGTTATTATTTATTGCCTACTTTTCATGTAAATGAGCTGACTTTTAGCCAGGAAGTTATTAGAAAATAACAAATAACTAATGAAAATTTGAGTTGTTTCAAAGAGTTGAGATTAATGAGGTTAAATAATTACCAAGCATTTCATATTTTGCAAACTTTGCCTTCAGGTCAAGTGGGCAAGGTGTGAACTGAATTGCAACAAACTGCTTTAATCAGTTAGAATTCTGAACAGCAAATGTGACAGGATCAGTCGTGTCTTATATTCTAAGAATTGATATTTTATAGAACTTTATTCCTGTACCAATATTGCATCAATTTTAAAATGACTTGTATGGTAGTATTTTGGATGAGAGTTTCTGCAGTTTTATTTCTCCTAACTGAAAGATGAAGAACGCAGAATTTTTTTTTGTCTGGATGATAGAACTTGCATTAATATAGTGGGATTTGGGACTTCTGGACATTCAAAAGATTTAAAAGACAATAATGTACACTTGTGTTGGATGACAAACCAGTCTGGTGATCACAGGCTTGCAAATAACTGTACTTACAATCTTCCAAATTTGTAAGTGGAAAGGAAAGCTCATGAAATTGCAGTAAGTTGTTGAGCACTGAATGTTACTAGATAACTAAATATCATACCAGGATGTCAAATTTGGTGTGAAAGGTTTTAAACTCGCTATGGACTTGCATAAAAAAGGACAATGTCTTATTTTGTTAACATGAAGCAGAGCTAACTATCATTAGGTAACTGGGCTCCAATACTCTTAAAGTCTCCAATTTTTGTTTGGTTTACAAGTTTAATTTGAGAGTAGTACTCGGGTAGGCCTTAGCTCATTTGCAGATGGGAGGGAATCAGGTTACTTGAATTTTTCAATCCTTTTGTTTAACCATCCTTTTCATGTTTAAAAGAAAATACAGCTCAGTTTAACTTTGTCTCAAATATTAAGTAAAGTTACTCTCAAATGCACTTGGAAGTTCATCTGTGAAAGATATCACTATGTAAGTTAACAGCTGGCATAAATTTACAAAAGTTGTGTTGTGTACTATAGGAGAGGGGAGAAAGATGTCTGTGTTGGGCTGCCTTTACATAATACAGGTACAAGACGATTATAGGTCTGTCCTAAAAGTGTACATATATACAACATTCCTTGTTGAACAATTTAACTTCTGGCATGGAAGGCATAACAAATGAAAAATACTCAACACTGTATCTGGACGTGGGGCTTGGACTATTCTTTACAAAGAGGATTGTAAATGTTGCTTGAATGTAACCAGATATTGTCATCAATTCAGTGCATATTTGCACAGGCTTAGAACAGGATGATAGTTGCACAGGACTGCTGTAAAACCAGCAGCCCAGTTTTTGTATTTTAAAATCCAGATATTATGCAGTGGCATCAATTAAGATGGGGAGTGGGGGGGGGAACATTCTTTCCAAATTATCCATCTGAAGTAAAACTGATACAAAGCATTACTACTGGTATTAAGTATGAAGATTATGATCAATAGCAACACAAAGCTCTGCATGCTTTGTGAATATTAAACTCTGGTTAGTGCCATTAACCAAACAGTTTCTTTTTCACCTTTGCTTCTTTAAAGAGCTAATCAATCTAATCCATCATAAAAATAACCTATAACAAAACTCACAAAGCGCTTGGAAATTTTAATTGTTGCCAAGTATTTATTGCTGGCTGTTACTGCTGAACGTAAGGGGAAAGATATCACACTTTTCTGCGCATTATATCAAACTTTAATAGCATCAAAATACTGTGTTGAAATAGGTTCACTTATTTTTTGCACTATCACTGTAATGATGTAATTTAAGGCTTTTTTGGTAGTATTGTGCCATTCGTTGGACTTTTGTGTTCTCATCCGCAACTATGATAGTTTTTTTTTCAACCTACTGTTACATTTCTGAACTGCCTGTATTCCTGTCAATCTTCTGTACACAAAATTCCTGTTACCCATGATTTTATTGCAACAGTTGTTTGAAAGTACGCAGTAACCGGATCTGAATAAGTGGTCTATTGGGAGATTTGAATACACATATTAAAACATGTAACTGCTGCATCCAAAGTGGCTTTTGACAAAATTCAAAGAACTGCTTCAGCTTTACTGAATGCTCAACATTCAAATTTGTTAAGTCATATTACTAAAGTCAAACCAAGAACTCTAGTAATATTAACTGAATCTGCCAGTCCTGGCTAATTTGCTTTACCCTTTAAGAAGATTAAGGTACTGTACAACTTCAATTGCAAGGAGCTTGGATGATAACCAGGTTTACTTCTAAATGATCTTAAGTCAAAGTGAAAAAGCATACAACTTCCTGGATTTTGGTCATCAATGAAATCAGATTCAGACAATATCTATAGGATACGTCTCATGTAGACCTATGGAAGTTGCTGTACATTATTAAGTGTAATCCTAGAAATACACAGGGAATCTCTGTTGGTTTATCAGTCACAGGATTCTGTAGCTGAGTGCTCTGATTTTAAAAAAAAAAGCTGCCTTTGTTTTACATTCAGGTTCTGCTCACTTAGAAGTGGCAGAGGGAAACAAAAAAGTGAGGATGTTTAAAATATATTGCAGAGCTGCCAGGTAAGCGTACTGACCATATGATAACTAACTAAACCAATTAGGGCTGGTAAGAAGGTAAATATAATCTACCAAGTAAGCAGTTTCAAATTTGTTACAATTGTGTCCCAAATAACTGTCACTGAGTAGCACCAGAATTAAATTCTTATCTGTTTTAACTTTTTTAATGTGAAAAAAATTGTAAAATTTTCAGAGTTTCTCGGAACATGAAATTCTTTTGGCTTCCTTTCATAGTTTTAGTTAGAAACTCTATAGAAAACACATGTAGTAGGTAATATGTCATGCCTTTAGTGCAATTTGAAGTATTTCAGCAACATTGTGTTTGTAAATATTTGTACAAGCCCAGTTAAAACTGTAACCTGTAACAATTCCTCCCACAAAGAGGCAAACAAATGTACCAAGGATGACCAGATTTACTTGAAGTTTAGATCTACTTAAAATAGACCACTTCCAATTATGTAAGCCACACCCAACACAAAGACCCTATGCTTGGTTTCTGACCTGAAATGCTTCATACTAGTGTGTAATTGAAGGGTTGTTTGAGTGTATGCAAGTGCTTTCTTATCAACTGAAATAAAAAGTATTTAATTTTGAGAAATAGTACTAATTTCCCAAATCGTTTGCTGGTTGATTTTAAAATGCATATTTCTAGCACAGAATCTCACCCATCAACAACATATATCGGCAAATCATGGGAGTAACTACCCATGATTTTTGGTCAAAAATTTTAATGGGTGAAACGTGCAACACAACTGCAATATCCTGATAAGCACTTCAACTCTAGGAGTCTTACAGTGGTGATTATTTTCCGGGGCAATGGCATTGCAACAAGACACAATTCTTAAGAAAGTAATTGTCAGGATATTTTAGATGAAAGGGAGGCCTAATTTTTCATTTTTAAACTAAATTGGAATAGTTGATTTACTAGAACTTCAATGGGCAAAATTTAAATTCAAACACAAAGACCCGGGGGCCTAATCAAACTTAGTGGTTTTTAAATCTCAGTTAAAGATGATACACTAAATATGCAGGCTGTAGACCTGAATCTCTCTCTGATGCTCCTATAGTTGACACCAACATATTTTACCATAGCAACAATAGAACCTTTCACTTCTCTATAAAAACACCATTAACAGTGTGCTGCAACGTGCACATATGTCAACAGCTAGAACAGATACAAAGCTTATAGGTTTCTATTCCTGCAAAGCTAATTTAATAACTTTATCGGTTTGAGGGCTTCAAGTTCCTGCTTATGAAGGAGGTGGAGAGGTCAGGGTTATGCTTATAGTAATCAGGCCATTCTATTATAGAACCAAGATTGGAGTGCAGTGCAGAAAAAAGATTAAGATTAAACTATTTTTAAGCTGCTCTTGAATACATGCAGGGACAACTAGATAAGAGACACTAACTTCATGACAACACAATGCACAACTTAGAAGGCACAACATTAGCACAAAAAATAAACAAAAGAAGAAAACAGTCCCCAAGATGTAACTTCATAAAACTTGGAGCATCAAAAAGGGACTGAGAACACTTTTGTTTCGCTCACACCAAATAAAATCAGCCATAAATTACCAATTTGGTAAAATGTTTTTTGATCTCTATTTGGGGTAGTTTTTTCTTTCTATAGTAAACAGATTTTTAAACAATCTGATTGGTGAGGTCTCCACAAAGAGAACATCTTTTCCGGTTTTTATAATGGAAATGAAGACCTCCAAGTGCAGGTTAGAAACAATCTGTCAAGAAGTCATAAACTTTCTGACATTGTTCAAATCACATCAGAACTCTGGGCTACACAACAAGATGCTCTTCAGCTTAAAAGTGCATTTTTTTAAAGAAAGGCTTGTATTTTCCAACTAAATTGACACTAATGGATTATCTGTGAATACACAAAGAAACAATCTGAATAGTGGTCATGCTTTGTACCCACAATGCTATGCACTATGTGCTATTTCCTCAAAACAATGCAATGTAGGTCAGTACTAGGTGAGTGCCTTGTGCATAAAGTATTGTAGTACAAGTGCATGTCCTTAACCTATTGTTTTTCCACAAAAGTCCAAAGCTGAAGTAGCCAGTCATATTGTGATCCCTCAGACATATTTGCAGGTAGCTTCAGGGTTGTCCTCTTTAAATTGACGAGGACAGCTTTATGCTGCAGCTGGAGTAGCCTTCATCACTACCAACACTTTGGAGGCTGCTGTGGTCGTCAAGGTCGCTGATGCTGGAAGTGCTAATATCGTCCATGTCTCCATGGGAGAACTCTGTGCTCTCAACATCCACCTCAATCTCTTCTGGAAATAAGCAATGGCAAATCATTAGTAGTGTATCAGGTAATACTGTCAAATATATTGGTTTATTTTGAGGTTTAAGTTAGTTAGCAAACTAGACCCACACGTTTGCATTATAATTTGAGAGGTGCTTATGGTGCAGAGTTGGCTCAATAGAAACATGGCAAATGTAAGACATTGTACTACCAATCCTGTGACCTCAGTCTTCACCCAATAATGCTCAGTACCACATGTTTCAAAAACTCCCCCCTTAAAATACAGTCTAACTCCTGCTGCATTCCTGTACATATACATATACAATAATAGTCAGAGACAGACAGCACAGAAATGATTCCAACTCATCCATGCCAACTAAGTTTCCCAAACTAAACTAATCTCATTCGCCTGCGTTTGGTCCATTTCCCTCTCAACCTTTCCTATTCACTTACCTGTCCAAATGCCTTTTAAATGTTCTAACTGCACCTGCATCTACCACTTCCTCTGGCAGTTCATTCCATATACAAACCACCCTGTGTGAAAACGTTGTCCCCTCAGGTTCCTTTTAAATGTTTTTTCTCTCATCTTAAACATATTCCCCCTAGTTTTGAAATCTCCCAACCTAGGGAAAAGACCTTTGCTATTCACCTTATTTATGTTGCTCAAGATTTTATAAACCTTAATAAAGATCACCTGTCAAGCTCGTATGCTCCAGTGAAAGAAGTCCCAGCCTACCCGACCTCTCCTTATAACTCAAACTCTCCAGACCCAGCAACATCCTGGTAATTTTTTCTGCACCCTCTCCAATTTAATAATAAATTATTTCTAAAGCCGGACAACCAGAACTGCACACAGTACTCCTACACTCAATTGTCTGAGTAATGATGGCAAGCATGCTAAACGCCTTCTTAACCACGCTATGTGTGGCATTACTTTCAAAGAACTATATACCTTAACCCCTAGGTCTCTCTCTTTGGAAACACTACCCAGGGCCCTACCATTAACTGTACAAGTCCTGTTCTTGTTCATTTTAGTAAAATGCAATATCTTGCATTTATCCAAATTAAACTCCATCTGCCACTCCTCAGCCCATTGGCCCAAGTGATTAAGATCCCTTTGTAACCTTAGATAACCTTCTTCACGGAGACCAGTACTCTTCCTAATGCATTAGATTTCAAATGATGCAGTTTATAGACTTGAAAAACCTGTATACCACCCGAGTGTTATTATTTCACCCATAAAAAAGCCAAGAGGCATTCCATTGTGTGACGAAATACAGTCATTTGCCAATATTGCTGGGGATATATCCTTTCTAATCCTTCTAAAAAAGGCCTCATTATAAGCTTCAGCACACGCATGTTGATCTTTTCATGCTATAGATTATGATTATCATGAGCAGACATGATCATTCTGGGTTTTAGATGTGATAAAATACATCACTATTATGTAGAAAATGATTGTGGGCACAAACAGTTTATGAAATACTACCTCGTTCTGAATCTGAATGATCAGAGAAGACAGTGGACCCTATGCTATCCATTCGTATTCGTTCATTTTCTGGCAGACCCTGTAGCTGTTCTAGTCTCCTCTTTAAAAAACGATGTTCCCTTTCCAGATGTTCAATCTGGTACAGTGACTTCCTATCCAGCTCTTCAAGTTTCTACAGGCAAAACACAAAACAATGAATTTGGTTTAACAGAGCAAGCTAATCAAAGGACTGAATTGCCAGGTTAAAGATCAGAATTCACAGCAGTAATTTTAGACAGGTCATTAACACATGTTGTACATGTATGTTGACATCCAATAGAGGGAATTCCATCACTACGATTAGGAGAAAGCTGTTTACAAAAAAAAAATGCATTTAATCAAATACTTTACAAATTGGGACTTGGTAATAGTTCATAATTTTCTCATCTTTTATGATGAGTCCAAGGGAGTAACATTCCCTAATAATTTATTCATAGCATGACTAAATGACCATTGTAATTGCAAAACAGATTGAAAGATGTTAAGAATTTATTGGCTTCTGACATAGAAAAATGCAGTTCTACAGATTTGCTTTACCTTAATGTGTGCTTTGGCTTTGTTGAGTAAACCAAGAGTAGTGTGCCTGGTACACTCTGATCCCAGTGGTATAAGTTCCTTCAATCGCTCTAAACAGAGACGAAGGTGTGCTCGTCTGTAAACAGAAATACATCAACTTGTTAAATCCTCAACCAACAAAAAGCCAATAAGAAATATTCATTGACATTAAATATACAATAACCTAGATAATATTTTACTTCAGACATCTAATATTAATTGTCCACCTAATAAAACAAAATGTCAATATTTTCTTTGCTGATATATCAGCAGCTTTCTTTCTTTGTGGAACTTCCCTTGTACAAAATAAGCCCATATCAAACATTTAACTTCCAACTCAGTGATCCGTGATGAATAACCTGCAAATTAATATTTATTATAGTTACAATATAGTAATTCCTGAAATAAACTGCAGGTTACTTCTCAGGCTCCAAGTTGGAAAGGTGCAAAGGAGGCCATTAGGAGATTAGGTGACAAGCTTTCTTACAATTTCATAGAATATCAAGGGCAGGTTCATTTTCTCGGGTCCAAAAGAGAGCAAGTGAGCAGATAGAGGTCTGAAATCTTGAAAGTCGACTGTGCCAAACTACAGGGTGAAGCCCATATTCGGAGAATGCCCATCGGTGGTCCCAGCAAGGCCCACTGAAAACATTGACCACCACTGCGAATATCTGAAGTTCCACCATCTTGAGCCAGAGCCCACAGGGCCAAGCAGGTGCGAGAATGGCTTGTGCCAAAAAGGGGGCAGTGAGGTTACAATAAGGCAAAGGTGGAAGGGAACATCCCGTGGATGCAGAAGGACGTCCAGAAAGGAAGCCACTGATGGAAATTCTATCCTCACTTTCTCAATTGACGTCCAAGAAGGGTGATCTGCTGGGCTTCACCCCATCCCTAAATTCCTGCTTTGGCCCCAAAATTGTGGCTAGGCAAGAAATGAACCTCAATAATTTGCTAGTAAAGGGCATCAATTTGGGAGAGGGCAGATAGGCCACCCTCAGTCTCACTGTCACCTCCACTGAATAAAGTTGCAAAGACAGGGAGGAATTTCTTCAGATAGTGGTTAGTGAATCTGTGGAACTTTGCCACAGAAAGCTGTGAAGGCTAAGTCATTGCATGTATTTAAGATAGAGAGAGAGATAGAGATCAGTTCTTGATTAGTAAGGGAATCAAGGATTACAAGGAGAAGGTAGGAGAATACAGTTGAGAAACATATCAGCCATGATCGGATGACGGTGCAGACTAAATTGGCCAAATGGGCTAATTCTTCTCCTACATCTTATGGTCTCTAATGTTCTGTTTCTTCAAATTGAGCTTCACTCTGTCAAAAGACTGTGTACTGTTGGTGGAGTTGTGGATAGCGTGGAGGGCTGTTGTAGATTGCAATGGGACATTGACAGGATGCAGAGCTGGGCAAAGAAGTGGCAGATGGAATTCAACCCAGAGAAGTGTGAAGCGATTCATTTTGGAAGGTTGAATTTGAATGCAGAATACAGGGTTAATGGCAGGATTCTTGTCAGTGTGGAGGAACAGAGGGATCTTGCGGTCCACGTCCACAGATCCCTCAAAGTTGCTACCCAAGTTGATAGCGTTGTTAAGAAGGCGAATGGTGTGTTGGCTTTCATTGGCAGGGGAATTGAGTTTAAGAGCTGCAAGGTTATGCTGCAGCTCTATAAAACCCTGGTTAGACACGCTTGGAATATTGTGTTCAGTTCTGGTCACCTCATTATAGGAAGGATGTGGAAGCTTTAGAGAGGGTGCAGAGGAGATTTACCAGGATGCTGCCTGGACTGGAGGACAGGTCTTATGAGGAAAGGTTGAGGGAGCTCGGGCTTTTCTCATTGGAGCGAAGAAGGATGAGAGGTGACTTGATTGAGGTGTACAAGATGATGAGGCATCTGAGTGGATAGCCAGAGACTTTTTCTCAGAGCAGAAATAACTATTACGAGGGGGCATAATTTTAAGGCGATTGGAGGAAGGTATAGGGGAGGTCAGAGATAGGTTCTTTACACAAAGAGTGGTGGGTGCGTGGAATGCGCTGCTGGCAGTGGTAGTGGAGTCAGATACATTAGGGACATTTAAGCGACGCTTGGATAGGCACATGGACGATAGCAAAATGTAGGGTATGGAGGGTAGTTTGACCTTAGAGTAGGATAATAGGTCGGCACAACAGAGTGGGCCGAAGGGCCTGTGCTGTGCTGTACTGTTCTATGTTCTGATTCCTATTTCCAAACATTTTCCTACAGATTTCTGAGAGGTAATTTCAAATGTGTAAATTGACTTTTATATCCGAAACACTTGGTTCAATTTTGTCTACTCTTTTTGTATTTCTCAACTGATAGAACACAAATCCTAATAGTTTGATTTATTTACTTTGATTGGTCACTGTTCAGTTTATTGTGAGATGCCAGAAGCCACTTGAAATGTACCTAGATTTAATACCAAGCAGCAACATTCAAATGTGCTTATGATTACTCAGCTGGTTGGGTAGGTTAATAAACCTCATGCTACTGGAGACTTGAAAGATTCCAGAATGAGACTCAGTCTTTACTGAATAGCAGACTCACTGCTTGATAGCAGTAGGGGAAGTCCTTAGAGGGGTGGAAATAACAACTGTTTTTGTTAAACAGAGATCATCATCTAGTTACCCTAAATGTAGACTATGAAGCTTGAATGTGCCATTCCCACTGAATGGATATAAAACTGCCGATGTTTCCCAACAATAATGTGGTTTAATTATAGAACAGACATACTGTGCCTTGAGTGGTGAATTAAACAACTTATTTTGACAGATTTATTAAAATAGGAAGCATCATATATTCAATCAAAGTCACATGGGATTCAGGGTGAGCTTGCCAATTGGACACATAATTAGCTTAATGGCAGGAGACAGAGACTAATGCTGGAGAGTTGTTTCTCGGACTGGAGGCCTGTCACCAGTGGTGTTTGACAGGGATCAGTTCTGAGTCCTCTTTTGGTTGTCATTTATATAAACGATTTGGATGAGAATATAGAAGGCATCGTTAGTATGTTTGCGGACAACACCAAAATTGGTGGCATAGTAGACTTCTAAGATTTCAAAGAGAAATTGGTCAAACAGATCAATGGGCCAAAAAAAATGGCAGATGGAGTTCAATCTGGATAAATGCAAGGTATTGCATTTTGGCACAACAAACAGGGGTAGGGCTTATACAATAAATGGTAGGGCTTTGGGTAATGTTCTGGAACAGAGGAACCTTCGGGTGCAGGTACATAATTCTTTGAAGTTTGCATCGCATGTAGACAGGTGGGTTAAAAACACATTTGGCACGTTTGCCTCCGTCGCTTAGTTCTTTGAGTATAGGAAGTCATGTTGATGTTGTACAGGACATTGGTCAGGCCTCTCCTGGAAGAATATTTTTAAGCTTGAAAGGGTTCAGAAGAGATTTACTAGGAGATTGCTGGGTATGAAAGGCTGGACTTTTTTCACTGGAGTGTAAAGATGTTGAGAGGCAAATTTTATAAACATTTATAAAATGAGAGTTAAAGATGAGTTAATGGTAGTTGTCTTTTCCCTAGGATGGGGCATTTCAAGACTAGGGGACACATTTTTAAGGTGAGAGAAGAGAGATTCAAAAAAGACAGTAGGAGCAATTTTTTTTTTTTTTTTTACACAGAGGGTGGTTCGTATGTGAAATGAGCTTCCTGAGGAAGTGGTGGTCGCGGGTATGATTACAAACACATTTGGATAAGTACATGAATAGGAAAGGTTTGGAGGAATATGGGCCAGGAGCAGGCAGGTGGGACTAGTTTAGTTTGGGATTATGTTTGGCATAGACTGTTTGGACCGAAGGATCTGTTTCCATGCTGTATGTCTCAATGACACTATAATTACATTTAAAGCATTCAATTAATTAGTAATGTCTGGACTTAGCATAAAATAGTTGTTCACAATAACAACTGCCATGTTGCCTTGATTTTACTGTTTCTTATATTGAAATTTTGAAGCCAGAAGCTCATGTACTTTGGATATGCATATCTAGCTGACTGACAGTTGTAGGGCACAGTGGAGTACACCCTGGCAAATTTCCACATTCACTTGTCCAAAACCGCCATAACATCAACAACAGGAGGAAAATCTCATTCAGAGTGCCTGTATTTGAATGGTATGGCTCACGTTGTGCGTCAATGTACGCTTGAGTACAATAATACTGTGGTTAATTATTGGAGTAATTATCCTAGACTGTTGATCCAGTGAAGAGTTCAAATCCCAACACAGGCAGCAGGGGAACACAAGTTCTGTAAATTAATAAATGTGCAATAAAAAGCTCTTCTCGATAATGGTGACAATAAAAGAAAGAGATTGCCATCAAAAACCTATTGGATTCACTAATTTTTTTTTTCCTTTATTCATTCACAGGATGAGGGTGTCACTGGCCAGGCAGCATTTATTGTCCATCCCTAATCACCCAGAGGGCAGTTAAGAATCAACCACATTGCTGTGGGACTGGAGTCACATGTAGGCCAGATCAGGTAAGGATGGCAGTTTCCTTCCCTAAAGTACATTAGTGAACCAGATGGGTTTTTCCCGACAATTGGTCATCATTAGATTCTTAATTCCAGATATTTATTGAATTCAAATTCCACCATCTGCTGTGATCGGATTCAAACCCAAGTCCCCAGAACATTAGAGATAGTAGGAACTGCAGATGCTGGAGAATCCGAGACAACAAGGTGCAAGGCTGGATGAACACAGCAGGCCAAGCAGCAT